AAAAAAAAAAATGAAGTTGCACTGCCCGGGAATCGAACCCGGGTCGCAAGAATGGGAATCTTGCATGATACCACTACACCAGCAGTGCTATTTACAAATTACATGCCACTTTCGTGAAGATAAGCTCATGCAATTTTAAATACTTCAGTATTATTATGCTTAAAAATATAATAACTGGAAAATATCGATAATAATAAAATAAATATTCAGCGTTTTATACGGAAAATCGCAATTTCTCAAATTTGTATGTATAATTAAATTTTATATAAGATGCAAAATATTTGCATGAAATCATCGATAAATACTTTCTAAATACAAATACGTGTTTTATTTTTATTAAATTGTAATTATCTTCCCACTATGTTGATGGCTATGAAACATTTTATTGTTTTCAAATTATAATTAATAGATTATATTCTGACATTCAGTAGAATGTATATTTAATACATTATTGTATTTAATATATTTATATATTGCATTTAATGCGTTTAATACATTATAATTTTACACAATGTATCGATATATATCGTAAAATTGAAATTAAAATTCATTAAACTTTAGTCTTATTTTGCATCAGAATTGAAAGGATTTCAATTTTTAGTTAGAAATTAAAATCAAACAAAAGATTATTTCAATTTTATATTTCTATTTGTGTAGATTGATTTAAAGATTTAAAAGTAATCGCCACGTAAATACAAAATTTTACGATCGTGCCATGATCCGAACAAAGTGTATCATTATTAACTTCTATTGTATCGTCACCACATTGTAAAACCACCCCCAATATTATTTCAACTGACATTATTTTCTACGACACATTTTCACTTCAACTTTAATCGACGCCGTAATTCGTTAGATTTGCATAATTTTCCATCTTTCTGTCTGTCGTGGCAATTTAACCGGGGAAAATATGATGACCACCTTGTACGTTCGTTTCCATTTACTTGGCCACTTCTAATGCGTAAAGAAGGACATAACCTCGTTGTTAACCGCAATATCGTCCTTAAACCACCAGTTTTATATTCCTCCGCGGGAAAGTATCTTATTTCGTGAAATGCATGAAATGACAACTTTGTGAGCGTTCCCTTCCCGTGGAAAGTACTCGTGCATTAGATGAATGCGTACAGAAAATACGATATGTCTTCATAGACATGTTGCAGCCAGGTTTCTTTTCTTGTGCATCCAAAGTAGAATAGTGGAGATAAATTAACAACGAATAGCAATTCGTCTTCCAAATGAATGGAATAATTTACAAAGTAACTCTCAATATAATAATAGCTCAAAACACAGCCAAAATAAATTTTTAGCACGTTGAGTTACCACGTTGAGTCTGGATAATTTTACACTTTTGTATCGTTGTGATGATCGAGATACAATTTTTAAAAAGAGACGATATAACTACTAGTATAATTCCTAATCTTCTAAAAGGTCTTTCTCTTTAATTTTCAAATGACTCTGTTATCTATTCAATAATTCAGGCGAAACTCTTTCTTGGCACGTGACATCCGATTTCAACTCTGAACTTTCAACTTTAGTTCAATACAGTTGGAATTCGTTTAATTTACATGTATCGATTTGGTAGATACAATCTTCTTTTATTGATATGACGAGCCGATAAAGGACTGTGTAAGTTGTCAAACACCGATGTCAACAGATCATAATTGTAAAATTAAAATTAAATATGATCGTGGTTGGTTCACGTAAAGGTCAGAGATAAATTTCAGCACAATAAAGTAAAATAAACTAGAAACAAAGAACTCTGAAGAATCAATTTTTAGTGTACTCTACTTCGAAAGAATTAAAAAAAACGAAGTGTCATTTTTCCTCGAACATCGAGGAAAAAATGGAAATAGTGACACGACCCTGACAAGGCGCCTGTTTTTCCACGGGACACCACCAGTTTGTTTCTCGTCCTCATTGGTTTTGCAATGCGGGCATCGGCGGCCGCAATAAATTTTGATCACTTTCATACCATAATTGCATTACACGCAACTGGTTTACAGTTATGCCTTACGACCTGCTTGTTATATATACTTCTCGCAGAACGCGTACCACTGTTTATTATGCAATCGACGAGGCGTCGAATGGAGCGCCTCGTATTCGCGAGAAATATTTTCTTCTCGACGAGAAATCGAACTTTATTTACTTACATATGTACAACAAGCCTAATATATTCGCGTTACAAGCAAAGCCAACCAAATCCTATGGTTCGAAAATGTAGGCTTCGTGCTTCTGATAAAAATTAAATTTGTAAACTTGAATAACGATACTTGTTATTAAACTGCGGATTTTTATGTATTCACGGAAAACTTGAGTGCACACAACATAAGATGTATAAAATGGGAATTCGAAACATAGTGCTTGTCATCGTATTTGACAGGTGAATCAAAGATATAAGCTACGTCCTATTTTTTTCAATTGCCCTTACGAAAAGATGCAAATGTAAATCGAAAAAAAATTTTTTTTAGAACGAAATTTTTTCGCTTGAGAAATAGTTTATTGTAGAAAATGTGAGTTTGTTACTGTTGGTTTTTGTCTCGTCTTGAGGCAATTGAGAATTGGCCCTGACTTTGACGTACTGCAAATTTATGTCCCAATATACTTCAACCAGTTCAAAACCGTTCGACGCAACATTGTTTCGGACGGCCACAAAGTCGACCGGAAGTCAACTACGATCTTGTTTTATCAAGATATAACGTTTCTAAGAGAAGGAAGATTGAGAGAGAGAGAGAGAGAGAAAAAAAAATGAATAAACGCAAGAATTCAGTTGTTGGATCATTTTTCGTTTTAATTTTTTACTGACAGCGAGCAAAATACGCATAAAAATGATCGCTGCGAAGTAATTATTATGTAATATTCTGTCTAGTGAAAAAGTAGAGAGACTACGATTGCAAAGGTCACACGATATGATTCTCCGTTAAGCAAAAAGTAGATAAAACTAGCCGTTGGTACAACGTACTGTATATTTCGATATTTTGACAAACAAGAAATAGAGAAAGACCATAATCGTTGCAGGATGATCAATTTAAAAAATAGAGACGTAATGTTCCATTGAAAATAGAAAGAAGTGAAAATATGATATTATTGGTGGTGTGATGAATAATCGGATACTTTTATTAGATTTGTGGAAAGAACAATGAAAATAGGTCGAGTTCAGCTCGATCTAGACTCTCGAGCAGCTGTAAGGTCTCTTTACAAATGAACCAGTTAGCCGTTCATTCGCCTTTCATTGTCGCTTTCACCGGTTAGCGACTAGAGTCTTGACTTAGAGTCGAGGCTCACCATGAAAGCAATCTTCGTTCTTTCAAGAACATTCTTCCTTTAACGAGAACAAAGGGCGCGAACACGAGGAAAGGGGCCCAAGTGCACGTGCTGTCTACTGTTGAAAGCTCCAGGAACCCATCTGGAACGCAGGCGCGAAGCAACAAGTACTTTCAAGTCGTCGTGAAAAAATTTCATTCTAGAGTGTCATATTGACAGTAATTAATAACTAAGTAGAATTAAATGAAATCAAACGAATTTAAATATATATATATATATCACACTTATGAAAGAATCTTATTCTGGAGTAATCCGTGATGGGATAAAATTTATTATATAACACGAAAGCGTACTGATCGAACGATCATGTGTTTAATTAATGTCCAACAAATCAGCAGATTTTTCTCGGATTAAAAGATCTGCAAGAAAATCTACAATCACAGAACAAAATAATGAGAAGTCTATTGATGATCTGAATCAAACTGATCGTCTCTCTAATTGATTCAATAAATCAAGGAAAAATCTGCAAATCAAATTTACAACGACAGAATGTAAATTACAAGTATCGATAGCCACGATTGGGATACCACCACCTCGACGTATATGTATATATTTTTTTTATCGTGTACATTCAGATAGTTGGTGCAGAATGGTGGGGAGGGTGTGAGTTAGAAAGCCCTAAGTGCCTTTCAGAAGGCTGCAGCCGGTAAAGTTGTTGCTCAGTGAACTCGGAGCGGTCGTCGATCGAGGTACGGCTCGTCACTGTGCTGTATATATGTATATGTATATACACACACGCGGTCGTTTCATTCAGCAGGAGAATTCCGGTTTCGAGGCCTCGTTTCTATTCGACGCGTTCGATTTCTACCGAAAGGACTGTTATTCGCGAACTAGCCCAGCGTGACTCGAACCAGTCGAAACGCATATTCGTTTACTCGCGACGATACGTTTAAAAGTTAGAATTCCCGGCCTTGTAAGTATGCTTTCTCTTTTAAAAATAGTTGTGTGTAATTTCGCGATTAAACGATCGGCGAGCGTTACTGAACGGTTTACTGAAGAGGATTACTCTCGGAAAGTGATCGATTTCTTATCGTGTATTTGATACCAAATTCGGAGGCAATTTCAAAATATGAGCGACTGATTTCTAATCGCGGTAGACTTTCAATATAAATTGGAAAAAGTTCTTTAAAAATAAAATACAGTATTTTAGATTGATTTCTCTTTTAGCTGCCCATATAAGTTTCGATACTACATTGTGAGGAATAGAATAAAAATGTAAAATTTATTTTTATTACACAGTGCCAGTCGTGAAACGTGTAGAAAACTTGTTGGAAAATACATCATCGTTCGAATTGTTTGAAATGTATAAAATCAAGCGGTAAATCATACGTGGTAAATCAAATGATACTGAACGCGAATGTCTCCGCCTGATTGAAATTCGCGAAGGTTATGGAAAGCGGGTCATAAGCTTGTGCAAAAAACCAAACATCCAATCGTATGGAATCATTGGAACTGTGTTAAGAAAAATTGTTGTACTGTCGTATCAGTAAACGCAATCGTTCGTTTAAATATTAAAGTCGTACAAATTACACGACGTGCACACAAAATGAAGGCAAACTTACGAACGGCAGGTGAGGGATTGCGCAACACTTTCTAAGTTTCATTTACAGGCGCGTGCCAGTGGCATCAATTACGTATAATTTAACAAAATTTTTCTCTATTTTTAACGAGCTCTTCTCAAGTCTGAGTTGGTGATATGAATCAACAATCTTTCGTTGCGCAAACGGGAAAGGAAGAGAAAAGAAAGCGATAAGCATTATAAGTAGTAATGGGATCTGAGACATTTCGAATCGATTGGAGCTTGTATTTCTTTTTACGAAAAATTCAAATTACTTCGAACATGATTCGAAACAAATTTTGAAAGTCTTGCGAGTTGCGACAGAGTTTGATAGCGTGATGAGCATTCAGTATCTTAGAAAGTAATATAAAATTGTGAAATGTAAAATTATGAAATTAGAGAAAATCCAAGGAAATTTCAAGTTATCGAATATTCATCATTCACTAGGCTAAGAATTTTTTAATTTCTTACGAATGCATAAAAGTCACAGTCTATTTATCGCGCACAACTAAGATTTTCAAACCTTTAGAAACTTTCGAGGCAATCAAGATTTCGGAAGCTTCCGAAACGATCGAACGTTCAAGAATTTTAATTTTAATTTTCGATTATCATGTTCAAAGTGAGTCGAACTTTTCTCTATATATACAGATTCGAAGCAGTTCGAAGCATTTCAAATTCTATCACTACTCCTACGTCTTTCGAAATTGGCGCGTTAATCATGAAGTCACGTGACAAGCAATGATTAACATTGAGGATCCATCATGTCGATTGCGTTCGATAGAAATCGTCAAAGGTTTCTACGACCTTTTGCAGAATAAAAGCTAAAACCAATGAAACTCCAATGAAATATCACAGCATATATAATTAATATAGCATGTTAAATATCGAAAATGTATTGAAGTGTCGGATATGTGCGTGAAATTATTAAACGTCCGATTTGTGGAACGTGTGTTATTACGAAAGGAGACACTGGAAATGTGCAGCAAGCGATATGTATAAGCAAGCGCGAAGCTGCTGAGGCTATTATTCATTTAAAGGATATGTTGGATGGATAATGGACATGGTGAGAGGGAAGCCGAGACGTCGAAGTGTGAGCGAATTGCTCGATTGGAGGTGCGTTGTTAGGAATAAAGGGGACGTCAATACCGACGACACGTGCACGAACGTGCCCTTCCTCGAGGACTATGACAAGGACCCAGAAATACGTCGCCGGAAACGTTCCGGTACTTGGCCGTGAGTAGTTGTTTTTACCACCCTTTAAAATAATGGGAATTCAGGAAAGAGTAATTCCTTCTCGGACTAATAGAAATTTACGAAACGATGAAACGATTGTAAATAAATAATTTGGACAAATTACTTTACCTTTGACATTTGAAATGTGGGACTTAATTCCTAGATTAAATCTTGAATAATGCTGATTAAATAATAATAATAATAATAATAACAATAACAATGGATTTATATATATTATAAATTTGGAAATCATTGTGTCAAGTACACGAAAATCCGGTATGGTCTAGTGGCTAGGATACCTGGCTCTCACCCAGGAGGCTCGGGTTCGATTCCCGGTACCGGAAGTCTATTTTTTGCCTTGATTATTCAATATGTTTTACCTCACATTTATGTAAGAAATGAAGAATTGAAAAAACATAGAAAGTTGAACTAATATATATATATAGAATAACATTATGATTATATTATCATTACGTGTATAATGCAAGCAAAAGGTAAGTTAAACGGTATAGCTCGGCTAACACGAAACCAGTGCACAGCTGTTCAATTTCGTAATTAAACTGGAACCGCGCGTAATCCGATTCCGATTCGTGCGAAACTTGAGCGAAGTTGCTTGCTCAATATTCTTATTATTCAGGGACATATTGACGTGTAGACAATTTGTTTGATATATCGATTAAAACTGCTACATTTTATTCCACAATTTTCTATGATAATTTTTTATGACATCAATCGTCTGGTTCACGTCTGACTTTTTCTAGGAAAAACTTCGTCGTGCATATTACACGTATCTGTAATTTTCCTTTTGTTCATTCCAAGTTTGTTTTTTCAAAAGCATTGTTTTCCAAGTACTTGTTGTTACGAGTTCCTCAATTTTTATGATCAATACGTTGAGAACGTAATTACATAATTGCGAAAAACTTACGTAAATGCCTTATCAAATAACAACTTACATATTGCTCCATCAGAATTTTGACAAACGGTGTATGTTGAAATAAAAGGAAAAATATATATTACAGAAATCCATAAAAGATAGGTGAACGAGATACCATATTAAAAAAAAAAAAAAAAAAATACTTTACTATAATGTCTCTTAAATACTCCAATTTCTTCGAATTTGCTAAACTCTTTAAATTGATATATTTCAAAGATAACTTATAATCTGCGAAGTTTTGCACAAAACAGAAGAAAACGAATTGTTCTTCATGATCGCAAAATAGATAGAGGGAATAGCCTAACACGTGTCGAATAAAAATCACAAATACACCTACAGCGTAATTATGTAATACCACGAATAAGTTCTTTTTTTAAAATGAAATTCATGAAATTCACAAACGCGACATAACTGATGCAAATCGCCCAAAGTGGAAATGAAACGTCAGGTTGAATTAATATCAATGTGATACTTCATTCATCTGTTCTGCTCTGTTTTTGCCAACTTCACTATTTGTCGTTCCGACGCTCGACGTTGCGCAAAAGAAGTTAAATAAAATCACCAGAAAGTAAACGTGTATATCCGGTGCACGATGGAATTGATTGGTCCGCAGCGTTAGAGCATGCGTGTCGCGCGCCAGGCGTCGCGACGTCAGCGTCGACCCGCCCGTCGCATTAACGTAGCCTCTTTTACCGTTTGTTTAACAACGAAGCGTGTCCGAATTGATCGAAATACTGCCTGTTACGCGCGATCTAGAAACGTACGACGAAACAGCGTGTCTGTTTCGTTGATCTGTGGACATGGACGAAGCTGAACTAAGGTAGGACTAGAGGTAGGTGTTGGTTAACCTCTAAAAACCCCGGTGTGATTTCGTAGCAAATTTGCCGCTAAGTTCTGTGCTCACTTTCATACCGCGTGTATTGTCTCATTCGGGACTTTGAGGTAATAATTCGTGATAAACGTCAGGAAACAAAACGTATTTCCTCGTAAACGTGCGTGTTATTTGAGATTACATCATTGCACCGTAAAAAGAAGATATTCGAAGGATATCATTTCCTTGATAGGATTTTCGAATTCAGGATTTATCGATTTCAGGAGAAACGGGACTTAATTTTTTTAATTATTACAAGTCGTTAATTCTTCGGTGAAAATTTAATATTTCAAAATGTTATCGCAAGACTTGTCATTTTGCTAATTGTCGTTACGTTGAAGTAATAATAGTATTTATTGAATTATTATTACAATGTAACAGAAAAATTAAAGAAACCATTGTAAACATTTTTTTTCATTGTACAATTTTATATTTTTAATAGTGTAAATATGTAATTAATTTATAATTTATAATTGATAAATAGTTAGGTTGTTTAAACGAATGTATGTATATATTTGGTGTAAATACCGTATGTGACTCCTGAATCGTGTATTGCATTTTTTTTTTTTTTTAAGGCTGTAAAGATAATTCAGAATTGCATTATATTGGAGACTTCAGCCCAGAATTTTAATTTCTCCTCGTTTTAAACTAAGTGCAAATGGCTGGAAAAAATGGCAGATCGTCATTTGGCTGCTTTTTCGAAACTGTTGTCGATGTGTTTATTCACATCGATTTTACTATTTATATATCATTTCTCGAAGTTAATGAAGTTTTGATTGTATCATTCTCTGTAACTGAAGTATCGTCTGTATTTCTTCATAAGACTTATTGCTCGTGTAATGGTGGTGGTTATTGTACCTAATACAGAATTTGAAAAAGATGCAAATGATGCAGATGATGATACGTGCTCGTGCACGACGCCAAACATTGTGTGTTTTTTATGTCATTTATATAACAGATACTTGTGATGCAAGCTTGATAGTTGAACGATTCGACAAGAGAGATAATCGTTGCAAAACTCGCGAGCTTGCAACATTGTACAATTCGATCCTCGCAAAAATATCACGGGAGATTTCGGCTGTCGTGATATAATTGTTATTTATGATAAATAAATTTATCTATGACTAAGAATTGAATTGCAATGACTCGAGCGTATTTTACAAAACGAATTCCTCGAGCACGAATTATTTTCCTGTTTCTGAAAGAACGAAGCCAATCAATTTTAAACGACAAAATACTAGGATTTGTTAATCTTAATATTCAGAATTCAACAAAATGGAGTTCAATG